GCAGGCTCGTCTCCCATCACACAGCGATCCCTCCCGGAGAGCCCATGGAGCGGAGGATGAGGCCTCCCGTGCTGACCGTCCTGTCCTTACTACTCCTTCTGGAGGGCGGCCGGGCGGCCATGGACGAGTGTTCGGAGGGCGGCCGGCCGCAGCGCTGTATGCCGGAGTTCGTTAATGCCGCCTTCAACGTGACGGTGGTGGCCACCAATACCTGCGGCTCCCCCCCGGAGGAGTACTGTGTGCAGACCGGAGTCACCGGGGTCACCAAGTCCTGCCACCTGTGTGACAGCGTGCAGCCCCACCTCCAGCACGGCGCCGACTTCCTCACCGACTACAACAACCAGGCGGACACGACGTGGTGGCAGAGCCAGACCATGCTGGCCGGGATCCAGTACCCGCACTCCATCAACCTCACCCTGCACCTCGGTGAGTGACATCACCCCACCTACCTGATCCACCCCAGACCCCCCATAGCTGAGCTACCCCCCATCTCCATACCATGCTGGCCAGGATCCAGTACCCGCACTCCATCAACCTCTCCCTGCACCTCGGTGAGTGACATCACCCCACCTACCTGATCCACCCCAGACCCCCCATACCTGAGCTACCCCCCATCTCCATACCATGCTGGCCAGGATCCAGTACCCGCACTCCATCAACCTCTCCCTGCACCTCGGTGAGTGACATCACCCCACCTACCTGATCCACCCCAGACCCCCCATACCTGAGCTACCCCCCCATCTCCATACCATGCTGGCCAGGATCCAGTACCCGCACTCCATCAACCTCTCCCTGCACCTCGGTGAGTGACATCACCCCACCTACCTGATCCACCCCAGACCCCCCATACCTGAGCTACCCCCCCATCTCCATACCATGCTGGCCGGGATCCAGTACCCGCACTCCATAACCTCACCCTGCACCTCGGTGAGTGACATCACCCCACCTATTTGCACATCTCCCCACGTACCTGATCCATCACCCCACCTACCTGATCCACCCTGGACTCCCCATACCTGAGCTACCCCCCATCTCTAGACCATACTGGCCGGGATCCAGGACCCGCACTCCATCAACCTAACCCTGCATTTCGATAAGTGGCATCCCCTCACCTACCTGATCCAGCCCGGACCCCCCATAACTTACCTGATGAGCCCCCATACACAGGACCCCCACTTTGACCGTACACAGGGACCCCCACCCCTCTCCAGACCATGTTGGCCGGGATCCGCTACCCGCACTCCATCAACCTCACCCTGCACCTCAATGAGGGACATCCCCTCACCTACTTAAGCTAACCCCCCCCCCCCCCCTGTACACAGGAGCCCCCATACCTGACCTACCCCCCCAACACAGGACTCCCACTGTATGCAGGAACTCATCCTCTCCAGACCATGCTAGCCAGGATCTAGTACCCTCGCTCCATCAACCTCACCCTCCAATTTGGTGAGTAACAACACCCCACCTACCTGATATACCCCAGACCCTGCATACCTGATCTACCCTCCATACATCACCCAATACCCCCCTGTACACCCACCTAAGGATAGGGAGCTCTCACTACCCAGACCAAGCTGGCTGGAATCTAGTACCCGTGCCTCATCAACCTCACCTTGGTAAGTGACCTTCACAACACTACCCCAGACCCCCCCCCCCCCATGCCAGATCTACCCCCCCCATTAGCTGTACACAGGAGCCCCCATACCTGATCTACCCCCCCCCCCCCCCCATACACAGGACCCCCACCTCCACCATACACAGGGACCCTCCCATCTCCACACCATGCTGGCCGGGATCCAGTACTTGCAGTTCATCAACCTCACCCTGCATCTCGGTGAGTGACATCACCACAGACTCCCCATACCTTTACATACACAGGACCTCCACCGTACACAGGGACCCCCAATCTACAGACCATGCTAAGCAGGATCTAATACCTGCACTCCATTAATCTTACCCTGCACCTCTGTGAGTGACATCACCCTATCACCCCACCTACCTGATCCACCCTGGACCCCTTTATTTGAGCTACCCTCACATCTCTACACAGGGACCCCCCTATCTCTAGACCATGCTGGCCCGGGATCAAGTACCCGCACTCCATCAACCTCACCCTGCACCTCAGTGAGTTACAACACCCCACCTACCTGTACAACACCCCACCTACCTGATGCACCCCAGGCCCCTACATACCTGAGCTACCCCTCCCATCTCCATACACAGGGACCCCACCATTTCCAGACCATGCTGGCTGGGATTCACTACCCACACTCTATCAACCTTACCCTGCACCTCAGTGAGTGACATCACCCCACCTACCTAATCCACCCCTGATCTACCCCCATACATCACCCCATACCCGACTGTACACCCACCTAAGGATAGGGACATCCCATTACCAGACCATGCTGGCCGAGATTCAGTACCCACATTCCATCAACCTCACCCTGCGTGGTTAGTGACATCACCCCACCTACCTGTACAACACCCCACCTACCTGATGCACCCCAGGCCCCTACATACCTGAGCTACCCCTCCCATCTCCATACACAGGGACCCCACCATTTCTAGACCATCCTGGCTGGGATTCACTACCCACATTCTATCAACCTTACCCTGCACCTCAGTGAGTGACATCACCCCACCTACCTAATTCACCCCTGATCTACCCCCATACATCACCCCATACCCACCTGTACACCCACCTAAGGATAGGGACATCCCATTACCAGACCATGCTGGCCGAGATTCAGTACCTACATTCCATCAACCTCACCCTGCGAGGTGAGTGACATCACCCCACCTACCTGATATACCTCTCCAACACCACCCCAGACCCCCCCATACCAGATCTATCCCCCATACCTCTACACGGGAGCCCCCATACCTGATCTATCCCCCCATCTCCACCATACACAGGGACCCCCCCCATCTCCAGACCATGCTGGCCGGAATCCAGTACCCGTATTCCCATCAACCTTACCCTGCACCTCAGTGAGTGACATCACTCCACCTACCTGATGCACCCCAGACCCCCCCCCCATACCTGATCTACCCCAATACATCATCCCAGACCTCTCTGAACACCCACCTAGTGATGGGGACCTCCCATTACTAGACCATGCTGGCCGGGATGCAGTACCTGCATTCCATCGACCTTACCCTGCACCTCAGTAAGTGACATCACCCCACCTACATCCTCTTAGGGACAGGGAATCCATCTCATGCTGTCTGGGATAAGTAACTGCACTGCTTTAACCAGACCCTGTGCGCGACTGCCCCATCTCCATCATACCTAGAGGCCCCATCTCCCCCAGTATGCTCTCATACCGACAGGGTCCCCATCTTCTCATATCCATGTTCATCATACCTCACCCCATCTCCCCCTATATGCCCTCATTAGAAAAGGGGCCCCCATCTCTCCCTGTATGCCCTCCCAGTGCCAGACCAGGGGGCCCATCCATACACTTTCATAGGAATGGAGCCACCATTCACCCTGATAGGGCCAGGCAGGGGCTCCCATTTACAGCCCCCATCACCCTCATAGTGCAAGGTTGTGGGCCCCCCATCTCTGGGCCAGTCATTTGCAGCAATCATCTTGTTTTAATTGCAGCTTCTTGCTTATTCCCTGTCCTATAGCCTCTAATGGTGGTTATACATTATACAATTTCTATACAATCTCCTTAGGGGCCCTGTGCACCATGTGCAGTGCAAAGTATTTATAAGAACGTATATGTAAGAATAATAAACCAATTTCAATGAGCTGATTATACACCGTTATGGTGCTTCTGGCGTAGTTTTAAAGAAAGTACAGTACGATGCATGTTTCACACTGGACTGCTCATGAATGCATGTCAATGCAACTTGGTTAAAAAAAAAAAAATTACACACACACACCGCTACAAAGCACTAATTCCAGCGATTTGCAGCTAGAGATTTAATCTCTAGAGACGCTGGCGATCGAGCTACAACATTGGGTTATGCTCTACTACAAATTGCTTTCCTTCAGCGAGTTGAGCAACATAAAAGTGCATCAAGAGCGATTGTTGTTAGCGATTTTGCTGGCAACACAAAAGCCTCTGAATCTTGGATCGCTGAGCGACAGATTACAGTAACACTTTAAGTTGGGGCGCATTCTCACTGGCGATCAGGGCCGGTGTGAATTGTGACGGCAGGAATCAGATTCCCACTACAGCTCTCAGCGGCTAGGTGTGGCCACCGGTCCTGTTCACTATGACAGGTCACTGGTGGCCATAGATATCACTGGTGGACCCACTTTGCAGATAATCGCTGGCTGTGCAGATAATGGCGAATAGCTGTGGCCGCTGTTGACCTGTTGTCATAGGGAAAAGGACCGTGGCCGCTGAGAGCCGCAGCAGGAATACTGTCATTATAGTGAACAGGACATGGGACCATCTAGGAGCGGTGCGTGTTACCTTCCCGATATTCTAGTGTATCCAATAGGGACAGGTGCAGTGTCCTGCAGCTGCTTGTCAAACTCCATGGAAGGCTGTGGCTGGATGGGGCTGAATGCTGTACCAAGTGGTACGAGGATGATGTGAAGATCTACATATATATTACAATGGTAATCCGTTTTCATGCACTTTTAGCAATTTAAGATCCTGCGTTGTAGCGCACATTAAAGCGGAGCGCCACCCAAAAGGGGAAGTTCCGCCTTAAGGACTGCTCCCCATTAAAGATTGGCACCTTTGGGAGGGGCGGGTACCTCTGATCGCCTAGGTCAGGAGTAGGCAACCTGTGGCTCTTTAGCTGTTGTGGAACTACATTTCCCATGAGGCATTGCAAAGATTACAAAACTTGACAGTTACAGCTATGACTTGCAGAGGCATGATGGAACTTGTAGTCCTGCGGCTCTCAGTTGCCTACCCCTGGCCTAGGTGATCAGAAGCGGATGGTGTCCTCCCTCCCTTCCTGTAGTCTTTTGACGTGACAGGTCCCAGAAGACTACAGGACCATTCATGAAGCGCAGTGCTATTCGCGCATACGCAGTGGGTACCCGGCTGTGAAGCCGCAAGCTATCACAGCCGGGTGCCCACACTGAAGATGCCGCCCTCCTGGAATACAGGACGGCCGGTGAAACGTGCTGCAGGGGACACACCACGGGACCGAGGGACAGGTAAGTGGCTGTTTTTTTAAAAGTCAGCAGCTACAGTTTTTGTTGCTGCTGACGTTTATTTTTTGACAGTGTGAGTGGAACTCCGCTTTAAATGCGATGGCGTGACTGGGCCCTAAGGCTGAGATACTATTGCGGCTCCTGTACAGATGTAGCGTTTAGTGGCGTATGCACATAAACTCATTCTATTGGCTATAACATTCCATATTTCTAATCACTAAAGTACATTTATGTGTGTGTGTGCGCAAAAAGCGCCCATACACGTCTACGGTAAAGACAAGCTTGGGGCATTTCTTTATGCTCCTGAATGCGGTGTGCAAATACATGCTTAAAACCCTGCATGGGCATGTTGGCTAATATGCAGATGCATTCAGAAATGTCAAAAAACAAAATGCTAGTCACCCCTGAAAGAGGCGGTTAGAGAAAAAAAAAGAAAAGACAGTTGCCCCTGAAAGTGGCGTTTTCACACCCATATGAATGAGGCATTATCGTGCAATTTTTTTGTTCCACTGTACGACCCACCACACCCCAGCTTGTCCTGTGGTTTAAAGTAGTAATGTTGGACACCCCACTTGATGCTGTTGGGGGGAAGTCCTCACTTTTACCCCCCCCCCAGAATTCATCATCAGCCCTGCCTCTGCTCTCTTGTGTATTTTATGAATCAGTTGTTTGACCTTCTCTTGTAAAAGGCTGTTACATGTAATGTCACTGGAACCTTGTTTATTGTGCCTCAGGTGTCACATTCTGCCGGCTTTACTTCCCAGTGAGAATCCTTTGCTCTGTAAGCCTGTTAATTGCACTCGGAGAAGTTATGAGCCGTTCTTTCATAGCCTGGGGCCAGGGGACACAGAATGGCTGTTGTGTGGTGGGGACACAAAACAGCATTGTGCGGTCTGCCTTCAGGACCCTTCTGTCTGTCATTGCTGTCTTTGCTTTTGGTACTTGAAGATTTGTCGCAGTACGCAGGCCTGCCGCTGACTTTTCTCGAGTGTTTTCTCAGTTTTGTGTGTCTTCTTGTATTTCAGGTACTTGTATATCGCTGTCGGTTTACGCAGCGCTTTACATATATATTGTACATTCACATCAGTCCCTAACCCTCAAGGGGCATAAATCTAAGGTCCATAACTCACATTCATATATATACATACTAGGGCCAATTTAGACAGGAGCCAATTAACCTACCAGCATGTCTTTGGAGTGTCGGAGGAAACCAGAGTACCCGGAGGAAACCCACGCAGGCACAGGGAGAACATGCAAACTCCAGGCAGGTGGTGCCGTGGCTGGGATTTGAACCAACGACCCTAGTACTGCCAGGCGGAAGTGCTAACCATTTAGCCACTGTGCTGCCCATTGCCAACCTGTGTTGTTTTTTTTTTTTTTTTTTTTTTTTCCCCAGGTCCCCTCACCTTAAGGTGAACGGTCTAAAAACACCAGTAGCATTCGCTGTAGAATTCTGTAATAAAAACGTGAAGTTTTTTTCACATTTTTTAGCATTTTTGCATTAGCTTTTCTTTAGTGTTTTTCAGCATTTGTGTTTTTTAGCAAAGTTATACTCCCACATAATCTTCAGGATCAAAAATGCTCATAAACACCGGATAGCTACTTTTTTTAAGCGTTTTTCAGCTTTTATCAGCATAAGAGCGTTCTAAGCATTAGTCTCCATGCACACGGGGTGTTTTAATATCGCTGGTAACGTTAGCTGTGTAAAGTCACATTAAAAATGTGAGTTTTTCAGCATTTTTGTATTGGCATTTGTATTCCGACAGCCGGCGGCAGAATATTTCAACAGTGGCTGCATCTGCTTAGATGCAGGAGCTCCTTGGCTGACAATTATCTGCCCGACTCCTTCAATTTTCTTTTTAATTTAAGAATGTTGAGCGGAGTGTTGCCGACGGTCACAAACTGATTGAATTTCAGCTGCTTCATTAGGAATGACCAGCCTAATCCTTCACCACGTGACCCAAATTAATGCCGGCCATAGACGGTTTGAAAATCGGCCGATTTTTCGTCTGAAAGATTAATCGGTCAATTTTTACACTGTTAGTGGGTTAATTCGTCGGCCGGGTTTCACGTTTTTTCTGCTTTTGGATTATCGGTCATGTTGGAAAATTTGTGAAAAACGACCAATTTTCGCGTCAATGATGGTCAAATCGTACGATCATTTTTAGGGAAAAAATATGCACGTGAGCCGTGACCTGAAAAATGACATTTCCTGTTATGTCATGATTTTTATGACTTGGTCGGGCCGATTTTCGCAATCATTGGTGGTTACGTCGGTTTAACGAACGACCGATGTTTCGTTTATCGGACGAAAAAACGCCCAGTTTTCGAGCCGTCTATGGCCAGAATAAGGGCTTATTTACCCTTGCATTTGGGGGGAGGTAAAAACATGCAATTGAACCCCTGTGTTTACTGTCTCCCCCCCCCCCCCCCCCCCTAAAATTGCTGTGTTTACTGTCCCCCCCCCCCCTCCCTCTTTAAGGAGAAGTAGGTCCAAAGCTCCTTTGACCCTACTTCTCCTGTGGTTCATAGGAGCGCTCCTTGTTCTGCACTCCCTTGACCCGTTTTCATCCAACAATGGGCTAAAGTCCACTGTCTGCTTATGTCACTCAGCCAGTCCAGGCTCTGGAGCGATCCTGACGTTAGTGCTGGGATCCACCCAGATGTTTGGACCGGCAGCTGGCTCAGCCATCTTGCTGCTGAGATCCTGAGCCAGTAACTCTCCTCCACAGCCTGGTGTGCAAGTGAGTGCTGGAGGGGCAGAGCAGAGAGCTGACTGACAGAGAACAGAGCAATCAGCGGTCTTTGATCATTTGGTTCTCAGTGTTAGGAGTGGCAGGGGGCAAATCCATCTAAGTGAGTTTGATTGTTTGTTTTTTCACAATCCTGAATTTCTCTTTTAAGGTTCAAATGCAGTGACTTGGTGGGTACACGTGCTGTGGCAAGAATGAAACCCTCTATCGCATTTGACGAAGACTACCGACCACTGAGCATGATCACATGCAGTGCATGTGCATGTTGTGCTACAGTGGTGCAGCATTTAGCCTGGGTTCACACTGATGCAGTTCGGAATTTGCAGCGTTTTCTGTGCGCATCACAATCGCACCACGTTCATGCAAACCGCTGTGGGTGTGTATGTTACGTTAACAACCCGTGGTGCGATGTGCAGAATCGGATCACATAGGTATGAATACCCATGCGAACCGATTCTAGTGCGGCCCCAAAAAAGGGTCCTGCGCCTTTTTGGTGCGGTACATAATGTATGGCTCCAATCGCACTGCACACAATTCGCATGTGATTTGCACAGGAATGTGGTGCGGTTCCTGTGCGAATCACATGCGATATACCGCACCGTATCAGTGTGAACCCGGGCTGAAGGATGTAAAACAGGTAATGAGACCTCCTCACCACCTGTCAAATAACTCTGAAAAGTGATCCACCCTCAAACAGCTTTTCAGAGGCGTGGCAATCCTTGTTGCATGTATAAACTAGCCCTAAAAGAAAAGTTTTTCCTTAAGTTGTAATCTTGAAAACTCTCCTCTTCTAGTCTCTGTGACCTGGGCAGTGCCTCGGCTCAATGCAGCTTTGATTAGTCCTCCCATCAGGCGTCCCTGCAGGGACATCGCTCTCCAATTAGACTTAATTATACCTTTAGCATATCACACCATGAAGGGCCTTTTTATTTTCTCCCCAATGAATGGCGCTTGCAGAAAACAGCACCTCGGGCTCCATGAGCGACATACCATCTGTCCTGTCCTAACCCCGCCTGCCATGGAAGGTGAATAAAGGGAGGTATGACGGAGGTGTGCGACTATTCCAGACCCATCCACACTGCACTTCATTCTCCGCACTCCTCTGGAGATATTTATAGTCGGCGAGTCTGCTCTAATTCTGGATCGGCTATTTTTGGGCGCTGGGACTTTCAAGTTGTGTTTTTTTTCCCTTTCAGTAAATAAAATTGACATATATACTGGTTTAGATTAAATCATTGTAATATTTTCCATTACATTTGTAGTAAAAAAAAAAAAAAAATCTGCCCTTTAGCTGGGAATGGAGTCCGTGTCATTCTTTGCTTTATTGCTGTGAAGTCCCAGCCGTGTTTAGTCTGATTAGTCCGTATTTGTTTAGACCGTTTCCCCTAAAATAAGCACATATTTTGTCTCTGTCAGTGTATGGCGGGCTCTACCTTTCCTGTTAGACATTCATGGGATCAGTAAAATTTGAGTGACCCCCTGATGGACAGATGGTGTCCCTGGGGAGTGTCTATTAGGCCTCATTCAGTGACATACTATGCAAATTCCGCATCACAATCGCACCATGTTCATGCAGACCACTGTGAGTGTGTGTGTTAACACCCTGCAGTGCGATGTGCAGGATCGGATCGCATAGGTGTGAATATCACTGCAATCCGATTCTAGTGCGGACCCAAAAAAAGGGTCCTGCACCTTTTTGGTGTGGTGCGATTAGAGTCGTACAAAATGCATGGCTCCAGTCGCACTGCACACAAATCACATGCGATATACCGCACCGCATATGTGTGAACACAGCCTGAAGGGTGTAAAACAGGTAATGAGGAGACCTCCTCAACACCTGTCAAATAACTGAAAAGCTGTTTGGGGGTGGATCACTTTTCAGAGTTGTGACAGTCCTTGCTGCATGTATAAACTAGCCCTAAAAGAAAAGTTTTTCCTTCACTTATAATCTTGAAAACTCTCCTCTCCTAGTCTCTCGGTGACCTGGGCAGTGCCTCGGCTCAGTGCAGCTTTGATTAGTCCTCCCATCAGGCGTCCCTGCAGGGACTTTTACATACATGTATACTGTAAATGTTTAGTATGTAATGATTTTCAGTGGTATGTTTAGCACAGTACGTCTACCTGCATTTCAGCGCATTCAGTTTAGTTGTGTTTAGAGAATATATAATTCTGTTAATCTGGGGCAGATTAGATCTTGCGAACGCACCTAAATGCATGTAAGGTTTACCGCAGCGGAACGTGATCTGGGAAGTCTAAAGTTTGGCTATACTTCCCAGATAATGTTTTCTACATTTAAATAAACCATATGCAAGAGGCTAATGTGAATATACGCCTTAAAGTGATCGTTCACCTTGACCAAAATACTGCCTATGCAGGTAAGGAGTATCTGTAGATAAAGCTGTGTAGCTTTGACTTGGAAGGGGTTGTAAACCTCAGACATGAAATATGAACAAAGCATTTCCCTCTACAATGTATACTTGTCTCAGTTAAGAGCACTAAGTGTCATTTCTATCTGCTGCTTCTTTCCTCTGCTATCCGCATTAATCTATTCTGACAAGTTTTCTTGACACCAGGAGACAAAGGTGACAGGGGAGGGACCTCCAGCAGAGTGAGAGCCTCAGGTCTGTTCCTATGTGCTGTGTGAAGGGGTGTGTGTCTCCCTTCCCTCCAATCAACTCTCAGAAATCTCCTCACTAAGCTCTGCAGAATGTAACATCATATATAAAAAAGTGCAGGGCTTACATTTATAGTACAAGAAATTTTATCGCCGGTGCAAGTTATAGGATATGAATCACACAAATGTAAACTAAATGTGAAATGATCAATCCATAAGCTAAATAATGCAATTAGCAATAAATAGCATCCAAAAATAAATCAGTGTGAATAAAGTGAAGTAATGTGTCCGTGGCACTACACAACACAGCAAACACAGCAGTGTTCAGTTCCAGATAAATCAATCTAAGTGACAAAAATAATGTATCCATGGCAGTACAAGGCACAGTAGTGTTCAATTCAAAATGAGTGCTGTGGAATCCAGTGAGACAATCCACCACCACTATGCACTCACCAGAAAGCTACTGGTATAGCAGCAATGTATAAACTCTGAGATGGAAAATTGAAATCTTTATCCAGAAAGGACTTCTCCAGAAAGCTACTGGAATGGCAGAATTGTAAAACCTCTCTCAGATGGAGACTTGGAATCTTTATCCAGAAAGGACTTCTCCTAAGCTCACCACAGGAGCCCAGAAATCGATATGTAGTGTAGTACTTTGTATGAGGATAAAACATTCCACGTGGAGATCTAAAACAAAATGTGTCTTTACACATACCAAGATGGCCGCCGCTCCTGTTCAGAGACGCGGCGGTGTGACGCTAGCACGTAGGCTCCACCCAACACGTTTCGTTCGCACGCACGTCCACCTAAACTGGCAGGCCGGGCAAGGAGAGCATTAATCAGAGAAGCAGCCAAGAGGCCCATGGTAACTCTGGAGGAGCTGCAGAGATCCACAGCTCAGGTGGAAGAATCTGTCTATAAGACAACTATTAGTCGTGCACTCCACAAATCTGGCCTTTATAGAAGAGTGGCAAGAAGAAAGCCATTGTTGAAAGAAAGCCATAAGAAGTCCCGTTTGCAGTTTGCGAAAAGCCATGTGGGGAACAGAGCAAACTTGTGGAAGAAGGTGCTCTGGTCAGATGAGACAAAAATTTTACTTTTTGGCCTAAAAATAAAATGCTATGTGTGGCAGAAAACTAACACTGCATATCACCCTGAACACACCATCCCCACCGTGAAACATGGTGGTGGCGGCATCATGTTGTGGGGATGCTTTTCTTCAGCAGGGACTGGGAAGCTGGTCAGAGTTGATGGGAAGATGGATGGAGCCAAATACAGGACAATCTTAGAAGGAAACCTGTTAGTCTGCAAAAGACTTGAGACTGGGGCGGAGGATAACCTTCCAGCAGGACAACGACCCTAAACATACAGCCAGAGCTACAATGGAATGGTTTAGACATACAGCCAGAGCTACAATGGAATGGTTTAGATCAAAGCATATTCATGTGTTAGAATGGCCCAGTCAAAGTCCAGACCTAAATCCAATTGAGAATCTGTGGCAAGACATGAAAATTGCTGTTCACTGACGCTCTCCATCCAATCTGACAGAGCTTGAGCTATTTTGCAAAGAAGAATGGGCAGAAATATCACTCTCTAGATGTGCAAAGCTGGTAGAGACATCCCCAAAAAGACTTGCAGCTGTAATTGCAGAGAAAGGTGGTTCTACAAAGGATTGACTCGGGGGGCTGAATACAAATGTGTGCCACACTTTTCACGTATTTATTTGTAAAAAAATTTTGAAAACCATTTATCATTTTCCTTTCACTTCATAATTATGTGCCATTTTGTGTTGGTCTATCACATAAAATCCCAATAAAATACATTTACGTTTTTGGTTGTAACATGAAATAATGTGGAAAATGTCAAGGGGTATGAATACTTTTTTAAGGCACTGTATCTACAAGCACTCCTTATCTGCATAGACTGTTTGTTTTTTTTTTTGTTAAAAAATGTTAAATGGCTAGGGAGCCATTCTACTGCAGTTATATTTACGGTATTCAGACATCTGCGGACATCAGCTGTGAGAATACAAGGGCCGGCAGGGGAGATTCGCCCGTCCTTGGTGTTTAGCATGGATTGGGGAATTTATGTATTTCTTTTGTTCCGCTTGCAAGCTGAGCAGAAGCAGTCCTTGTGTGAATGGCCAGCTTCAGTATTGAAGCACTTAATGACAAAGCAGATAAATTAAAGAGCAACTCAACCTAAAATCTGGAAAATTAAAATTAGCTTTATGGATACCGCTGAATGATAGAAATGATGACTTCTTAAAGCGGAGTTCTACTCACTTTGTAAAAAAAAAAAAAGTCAGCAGCTACAAAAACTGTAGCTGCTGATTTTTAAAAAACAGCCACTTACCTGTCCCACGATCCTGCATTGCCCCCGCCACAGCTCGTTTCATCGGCTGTCCTGTATTCAGGTGCTGACATCTTCACTGTGGGCACCTGGCTGTGACAGCTTGTGGCTTCCTGAATGGTCCCGTTGTCTACTGGGAACTGTCACATCCCACAAGACTTCGGGGAGGGAGGGTAGGAAGACAACTTCCATTTCCGATCTCCTAGGCGATCGCAGCGGAAGTGGGAGCGGGTACCTGTCAAATTCGGGTACCTGTCACCCCCCCCCCCCCACTCCCGAAGGTGCCAATCCTTAATGGGGAGCAGGGGACCAATCTTTAAAGCGGAACTTCCCATTTTGGGTCGAACGCCGCTTTAAGGTATGTTAACATGGGCATATGGAAATTACACAGGATCTGCCTAAAAGCAGGATCTCATTTTATTTATTTCAGGTACTTCTATAGCGCCATCAATTTACGCAGCGCTTTACATATATATTGTACATTCACATCAGTCCCTAACCCTCAAGGGGCGTACAATCTAAGGTCCCTAACTCACATTCATACATACACATACTTGGGCCAATTTAGACAGCAGCCAATTCACCTACCAGCATGTCTTTGGAGGGTGGGAGGAAACCGGAGTACCCGGAGGAAACCCACGCAGGCACAGGGAGAACATGCAAACTCCAGGCAGGAGGTGCCGTGGCTGGGATTCGAACCAACGACCCTAGTACTGCCAGGCGGAAGTGCTAACCATTTAGCCACTGTGCTGCCCAATGTACGGACAATGTTTTATACGTTGTCCATACACTGTATGCAGGTAATGTTTACTTACATATAGTGTGAATGGACTCTATTGGCCACTGCTCAGGGCAGCACTGTGTAGCTAGCGACACCGCCATCACTTTTGATATTTTCATGTCAACCCTGAATAAGGCATTCATGTGGTAGAGATTGACCTCAGCAGATTGTGAATGACTGAAGGCCTGTGCAGGGTGCTGTCATTCTTCCTGGAAGAAAAGTACAGCACCCTATTCACCTCTCCCTGTAGCCATGATTTCCCTGCATTGTATAGTGAAGCACAGAGACCTAGTGATGTTACTAGGTCTTAAGTATGTAATGGAAGCAGAAAGGCTTTACTTTAGAAATATCATTACTGTTAATTGTGTATTACCTACAGCATTTACGGCTGAAGTTTAACCTAAGTGCATGTGTCATGCCCCCTCTTGTCCCTCTCCAATAAGCCCATCCGCTGTGTATCTGGCTTTGTGAGTCACTGTCTGTGGGAAGAACTCCTGGGGGGTGTACTTGCTCCTCATATGGTGGAAATATGTTTTTCTAGAAGCTGAACTACAAAAAGGAGATGTAGTTAATAACAGATTCTAGGGATTAAAAACAGATTTCTTTCTAGTCCTTGGCTCCCATGAAAGGATTTAGCATGTCTCAGACTTGGCTGTTTCTGACAGTGATGTCTATCACTCATTAGGAAAGCCGATTTTTTTTTTTTTTTTTTTTTTTTTTTTTGTAAGTTCCGTATAACGTGTGCACCTTGTGATCTTATAAAGACTAAAATAATAAAAAAAAATGCTTAGCAATTAGTTTTACATCTTCCAGGGCATCGCCTCCATTTTTGTAGATTTATCAAGTGAGTCATTTTTATAGTGTTTCAGGTTGGTAGTTCAAATTGGCATTTTGTTTGAGGTCATATTGTATAAAGATTCCCATTTTGATAACAAAGTACCATCGTGTTTATAGAGACCCTGTTGTCAGAACATTCATATCAAGTAAACTCTTCCCAATAAATTAGATGTGCATCGAATGGATTGTATGCATGTTGTTTACCTGTAAAAACATCCCGCGTGTAGACATCCGAAAGCCCCAAGGCGCCTTCTGGCTGCCGCCATCTTGGATGTGATGTCAGCAGACTCAAGAGACTTTACTCAGGTGCCAATTTATAGTATGCTCCTTTGCTCCTCCCCTGGCAGATACATAAATGGTTATGTAGGGAGGTGAAGGGAGGAGCAAAGGAGCTGGGCCAACACAAAGAATAATTAGACACTGCCAGAGGAGGAGAGGGCTGTGATGTGCAAGCAGGGAGGGGGCTTTCCTAGAGAGTTAATCGTTCTGGAGTAGTCACATTTCCTAAGTTCAAAGGCACATTGCAATTGAATGAAAAGGAAAAATGCTCCACTTGAGCTTTTAAAATACTTGATTTATCTGTGCATTTACCTGATACTTTTGAACTTGGTGCATTGTCATCTCTGGAAAGTTTTAAAGGATACCTATGCAAGCTAAAACATGAAGAGATGTGTTGGAAGCATGGTAGAGAACTTGCAGCAGTGTAGGTACTCTTCTGTTGAAGGTTGGTGTTACCTTATGCAGGCCATACACTGTTCGAATTCTGAACGATTTTTTGTCCGAAAATCAAAAACGTTGTTTGCTCGGTAATCTGATGGTGCCATTAATGATTTTGAAAATCGACCAACCAAGTCATAAAGTTCACCCCATATAACAGGCAAAACTGTTCCTTTCCAGGTCATGGCTGATGCGCATATTCTTTTCGGAAAAACCATCGAACAATTTGACCATCATTGAGTCGAAAATCGGTCGTTTTTCAAAAATTTTCCAACATGCTCGATCACCGAAAAGGAGAGGAACCACGAAAATCGGCCGGTGCCATTGACCCACTAACAGAGTGAAAATCGGCTGATTATTCTTCGGTCTGATTTTCGGACGAAAAATCGGTCGAATTTCAACCCATGTATGGCCGGCCTTAGTCTTGGTGGCCACTGCAGTTGATTGAGAATGGGATGCCAATGCATGATATGTGCATACTGGTGTGCTGCAGTTTAGGTCCATTGACACCTGCTGTGCATTCTAAATAAATGTCTACCCACTGTATAGAGCAGTCTAGGGTTCCCCCTGAAGTTCCCAGGGGTTCCTTGAGCAATAAACACTTTCTGCCTCTCAGGAAGTTACCAACAATGATCTTTTTATCTATCTGCAATGGTGGAATTCTTCCTTGGGCCAACAATGTAAGGGGCGCTCTTCCTAATGACCACCATGCTCATGTATTGTAAGCTGGGGGTACAGTAACAGGTGATAGGGGTTCCCTGAGTCCTGAAAGTTGTTTCAAGGGTTCATTCATGTGAAAAAGGTTGAGAAATGCTGGTATAGAGTTTTGTGCATTGTGATACAATTGGACAACTAGGGATTCCTGCGGCTGGGATTGACAGCTGTGTGCAGATTGTGTGCAACTGTGCAAACAGTCATGATGAGAGTGCTCAGCGGCTGCAGCTATCCACACACAGCTATCAGTCCCAGCTGCAGGAATCTAGATTCTTGTCACTGGGATACTCGGCCTTAAAGGATAAGTTCACCTTCGTGATAAAAATGTGAATTAGTTTTTTTTACCAGGCGTCTGCAAAGCATTGCACCCGCGTTCAGCAGATCACAGGTGCAATGCAGGGCTCCTGCAGACTGTCTGTGTAAGCTGCCTTTTCGTACAGGCAGGCACTTACACAATGTCAGGAGGAATCAATGAACTACCACAGCGTTCAACTGTGCCCTTATATGAATCATGTGAGTGGAGCCCTGCACGGCAGTGGTTTTTAATAAATTGTGACTGCGTTTGGGAAGAAGTTCCTACACTTGCTGTCACAATGGGGGATTGGGTGGGGGTGGTGGTATGGGGGCTGCTGCAACAGTAACATGTTACGTGTTGCACCCTGAATATGGATGTAACATGTTGTGAAAGATGAACGTGTCCTTTAGTGTCGGGTCACACTGCTATGGTGTGAATCTGATGTGGTATCGCAGTGCGATTTCTGCTGTGTCATGTGTGAATTGAATGCGATTTCTGAGGGGGTTGGGCATAGCAGGAGATGAAATTCACACCACAGCTGCACTAAAGTCGCACAGGACACTTTTTTTTTTTTGTTTTTGAACCGCATCCAGTTCGCACCACATATATGTGAACAGGCCTCATTGGAAATCATGCTTTTTGGCATTGCTTGCAAATCAATGCTTTTCTGAGCACATCTGATCCGCATAGAATTTGCAGCAGTGTGAACCAGCACTGACGGTGAGTCTGAGATCATTATGGGGTTGATTTACTAAGGCTCCATGCACACTGGACAGTTTGATAACGATGTGTAAAGTGACTTTTTCAGCTTTTTTTTTTTAGCATTTTTTTTGCATTAGCGTTTAGCTGCGTTTGCATTTTTGGAAAAAAATGTCCAAAAACTTCGGTTTGCGGCGTCTTGCCGTGTTTTTCAGCGGTTTTACAGCTAAAAAACTCCTCCAGAAACCCACTAGTCCCGGGTTTTTTTTCCCAGCCAAAAAACGTTGATTACAGTCTGTGTGCATGGACACATAGGATAACATGCTGGGGGGTTTACTGGCTGTAGGAAAAAACCGTCAAGAGCCAAAGACAGCCGCTGTAAAAACATCCAGTGTGCACAAGGGCTTACCCTAGGTTCACATATGTGCAGGTGGTGCCGCTGCAGATCCACACAAAAATCCATGCAGCCACACCACCCACACAGAGAAATGCGGACCTACGGGCGAGTGCCATTAGTTCTAATGGCACGCCACCCGCGCTGGAAAACGCAACCGTACTGGGAACCAAGGATTTTTTCCCTGCGTGTCACAGGGCACGGGAGTCTATTCAAATGAATGGGCTCTCATGCACGTGCAAAACGCGGCCCGTACGGCCGCATATATTTGAACCAGGGGTTAAAATGGAGAGTGCAAAATCTGAGGCAGCTGTGCATGGTAGCCAATCCGCTTTTTACTTCAGCTTGTTCAATCAAGCTTTGACAATTAAACCTGGAAGCTGATTGGTTTCTGTGCAGAGCTGCCCCAGATTTTGCACTCTCCAGTTGTAGGAAGTCAACCCCAATGTGTTTTACTTTCATTCCCCAATACAAGTCAATGTGAATGCACGGTTAATGCATTTTTAATATATTTTTTGATTCCCATGTACACAAGCCCTGAAAAGGGTAAGATGCTGGTAGTGTTGAATAATCATCCTATAGTTTAAAATCACTTCTAGATGGATTAACTCATTTTCTGTAGTGCTTCACACTCGCGGATGTGATTGACATTGTGGCCTATGAAGTATTATAGTTTGCTGTTTGTAGGTCTTGCATGGTAACTACATTTGAGCTCTGTTCCAATCTATTCATGGGTTCTCTTTGGAATAATCAGTTAATGAGCTTCAATGCACAAAAACCTATATGTATGGACAGAGGTGTGAATCCTGCCTAAAGGGTATTAGTAGTGCTAGTAGTCTGGGCACTGTGTATTGTAATTAGGGCAACGCTCATTAAAAAGGGACTTATCCCTCCCTCCTAGATTGTAAGCTCCAA